TGTGGCTGCCCTCTTGCTGGCAAGGAAGGTTGAAAACCACTAGAGTAAGTCTCCCCTACCTAAGCACCCTCCCTGAGCCTTGCTGCATCTTCCTCACACCTTTGAGCAGCCCCTACACATTCATTGCATGCCCCTTGCAGCCCCTCTTGGTGTTTCCCTCATGCCCCCCCCTTCACCTGGACACCAACTTGCTTCCTGCCAACTTGCTTGCAAGCCACCTAGGACTTGTCAACTTCCTGTCAGCTTCTCCACTGACTTGGTTGTGAGAAGCTGGCAGAAAGTTGTGTTACTTAACAACCAGCAACAGCAGGATTGTAGTTGCACATTTTTTATTTTTTAAATATTTTTATTATGTATTTTTCCTTAATATACTTAACAGTTCCAATTATACAACATCGTTGTGTACTGGTTATATCAAATCCCCCCCCCCCCCCCCCCCATCATATTATACATCCTAGTAAAACTATCATACAGTATAATCTCTACATCATGTTATACATCCTGATTATAACTATTATTTGCTTATGTCTACCATAATACACTGTTACAATTCTCATTTTGTGTATTTCATACTATATTCACATACAATTCAATAATAATATTTCTTACAATGTTTATTCTTACATATTCCGCTATCACTGTATATATTTGTATTTTGTTAATCTTTCCTTATTTAACACTAATCTCTGCATCTATTATTTATCCAATTATACAATATGTCCCATGTTAGGTAGTACTCTGATTCCTCTTTATCCTTGAGTTCCATTGTAAGTCTGTCCAGTTTGGCACATTCTAATAATATTTTTTATTACTTCCTCCTCCATGGGAATCCTTTCACTTTTCCAGTGTTGTGCGTATAAGATTCTAGCTGCAGTTATTATATGTATGATTAAATTATACCCTATGACTATTATTAAGTGTTGTAGCTTATGATTCTTGACTCTTGATGAATGTATCTTTTCTTTTATGTACACTGCGAGCATATGCACAAAGACAAATTCCTTGTGTGTCCAATCACACTTGGCCAATAAAGAATTCCACTCTACTCTATTCTAAATATGTGGGCCTTTTATTGTATTTTCATCACTTTACAAAAAGAAATTCTGGTCCCAATTGCCATTGTAACTCGAGGACTACCTGTATTTATGAAATTTCAAGTCCTACAGTAACTGGTGTATAAACAGTCGAGCAGATAGAAATACTCAGGCTTTATGGGCCTGTAGAGACTTCTGTGATAATAAAACAATGAAGTAATAGTTGGGTATTCTGGTTTCACACACTCGTAATCATACTCCTTAACCTATTTTTTCATGTCCTTGGTATTCCTCAATTCTTCTATCTGTATCTCCTTTGTACTTTATGCTACCATCTGTATCTTTTTATGAATTTCTGTTTAATCTGAGATATTCATGCCTGGAGTTAGGTCTGCTATAAAAATTGTTTTCCAAAAACATGCTGTTCCTGTTGAAACATTCCCAACTCAAGTATCTTCGCACAAATACATTATAGTAAACAAGAACCATTCCTACAGAAACTTAGCATGATCTGGTGACCTTTGTTAAAAGATACCATCAATAGGAAATGACTGCTTTGAACCTCATCTAAAAGTTCATTAAGACAGAAACTCATTGGATTAGTTTAGGAGGATTGTATGATGCTGGTAGTGGTATTGCTGATTTGCAAAAGAGTTTCTTAGAAAAAATGCCATAGTGTTATTCTTACTGTTATTGTCATGAAAATACTTCTTTCATATAAAAAGGCATCCTATGGTGATACTATGTTCATGTATCTAATTGCCTAATGTTGCTAAGGTGTTAAAACAGAAAAGATGCAACCTTAGATTCATGTGTTCTCTAGTCAATGGGAGATGGAGAATTTGCAAAGAGTAAAGCCAATTTTCCTGAATGTGGTTTTCCTAACACAGTATTTCCTTCTAATCTTTGCAAAGGCGTTAGCAGTCCTGATATAAATATAAAAGGCATGCCAGCATACTGGAGTAAGTTTTTCCACATTAAACAGTCAGTGACAACTAGCATGCCCAGGCTTACATTTTCTCTAATAGCATTGCCTTAGTCTAACTCTTGCTAATAGCAGTAAGTAGAAAAGATCATCTGTTCTGTGTAAATTGCTCTTACTACCTTCCAATGGAATTTGCTGCTTGGTTATTCTGACATCCCTAACCTCACAGTGACATTCAAACTGTTCTGTAACTGAACTTTTAACTTGAAGCTCTTCAAACTGCACACAGCTCGATCCAGTTCTTAGGGCTTGTTCCTCTCCTTATTCCTACCTTCAGTGGTTTCTTCAGAGCTCTCTGCTCCAGTTGTTTTTCAAACAGTTGCAAATTAAGAATGGAATTCCAAAGCAGAGGAGATTCCTGTGCAATTCCAGAGAATGAAGAATTATCCAACATTCCTCAAACTGCCCAGGATAACTATGTGAATGAGGGCGAAAGAGCCATGTCAAAATTGCAGCGCAGGCATAGTGATGTAAAAGTATACAAAGAAATATGTGACTTCTATGCAAAATTGTAAGTTTACCTTCTCGGTTGATCTGGGACCTAGGCTACTCGTGTTTCTTCAAGCATAGTTTTGATTGATGTTCATGTGACTGAGTGATATAGCATGACCCAGTACAAGATGTTGTGGAGGTTTTGTATATTAATCTGGGTGTTGTATGTACTGTATTTTGTAATATGTGTATTTGTTTGTATTTGTGTATTTGTTCCAGAGATAACTTCCTTTATTGGACTCCTAATGTCCTCTTTGGGTGTATTACAGTCTACATATGAAGTGGCAATAGTCTATCTCATATATAGTATGAAATACTTGTCTGCAATTAAAATACGTTTTCTAAAATCCACTGAAAATTCCTTATTTGGACTAACTAGTGTACAAGTAGCTGTGCATCATAATCCTTTACGCAAAGAGAAAATGTATTTTCATATGGCTCATTTCCTAGTAAATATGTACCACATTGAATCCTGGCATAAAAATCCTATACATAGCTAGTTTGAAATGTTGGACTGTTTCCAGGGAAGTATATATAGGATTGTTTTTTAAATGGCAATCCAGGCTACTTTTAGCAGAATATAAATTCCATTGATCATAGTGAACTTTAGCTGGGGGGGGGGGGGGGGGGGACTCTTAATAGCACATGCTACATATTTCAGACTTTCACAACAATATTGCAGTCAAAGTTTAATTTGAAGGAATTTTACATTGCAAAAATGGGAGGAAGATGCCGGTGTGCATTCCACTTCATGAGTATTATAGAGAGATTGTTTTGGAAATGCTGGCAAAATTCAGTGGCATCTGAAAATAAGCTATTCTGCAGCTGTCTCAATCCTGTATGGTAATACTGCGGTTACTATCCAGTGTACTTCACTTAATGCCGAATGTGAGACTTGTAGTTTCTTAAATTACAAACTGTTTTAAGCATAGATCCTCCATTGCAAGCATTACGTGTTGTTCTGTAGTTAGAAGCAAAGTGTTTTATTATGGATTCTAATCTATGTTAAGATAACATTAGAACGCTTGGCACTTCCCAAATTATTTATCTGTGTTTGCAGTGAGTGGAAACTGACTGGAGTATTCTTCTAAAATGTTAAGAATAGCTTGTACAGTCATCACACAGGGATGTGGAAAAATTCAGATAGCTTTTTTGGCACAATCAAAATCTACTTAAACATTTTTTTAATGTTTTAGATCAGATACTTAGGATGGCATAGGCTCAAAAGAATTTCAAATTATTCCACGTGTGACAATTTTCTTACAGTTTGATCAGTTGTATCAGATGTGCTACATGCACTGAGATGTGAGAATTTGAATTTCTTTATGCAATTCATAAAAATATGCTGGAGAAAGCTACAAAATATGGACAAAGGATGCATAGCAATGGATATTCTGATAAAATACCTGTGCATACGATTTTCTAATTTGTTCCTGCATCTTTTACACTGAGGAAAAGGGTGAGCTAGATATGTGTCATACCGCAAACAACTCAAACACTGATGCATCATTTGGATAGATTATTATCTCAATACCTATCCTACATAGCATGTTTAAATCAAAACTACCATAATCAGTGAGTACCCTTCTGTGATTACCCCATGCCACTGAGGAAAAGCACAGAGAGGCAGAAATGTCAGATCTCTAGGCCATACACATCTTTTGGTATGACTACTGATCCATAAAATGAGGACCCAGATTGTTGGGGGCAATATGTTGACTCTAAACCAGTGGCCCCCAACCATTTTTGTGCCACGGCCCAGTACCGGCATCACAAAATCATCCGCGGCCCAGTACCAGCATCAGCACGCATGGCAAGGCGAGCCAAGCGACCGGCCAGCCAGCCGTCCCCCGCTTCTCCCCGCCACCTTCAACTCCTCCTTTGTACCTGTGTCTATGGGCTTTGCGACGGCTTCGGGACGGTCGCTCGGCTCGCCTTGCCATGGGTGCTGAAAGAATCCTCGCGCCTTAGTTTTGTTCGAAGCCGCCCCCCCTTCGATGAAACTAAGGCGCGAGGATTCTTTCAGCACCCAAATGCTGCTTTCTACCCAGAAAAGCTCACCAGAAGCACTTTTTCATCAAAACAAGATGGCGCCCAGCAAACCGGCGGCCCGGTAGAAATTGTCCCACGGACTGGTACCGGTCCGGGGACCGGTGGTTGGGGACCCCTGCTCTAAACTGCTTAGAGGGCTGTAAAACACTATAAAGGATTTCTATAAGAACTGAATTTCCCATTGACTCCTTCTCTCCTTCAGCTGCTTAGTCTGCCTTTGCTACCAACATCTGATTTCTCAAATAGGAACCAGTGCTAACTGAAAATGGGGCTTCTCCATTGGCTGGTAAGGCCAGCATACTACAAATGATTACCTTTCTTAATAAAACCCAAAGAAAAGACTTGCCTTCTTTATTGCCAAGCTTGAATAAGCTGCCCCTTGTCGCAAACACATGCTCATCTGAGCTAGGTTCTCATGCAGTTCTCTTTTGTTACAGCAACATGGCCAATGCTCTTGCCAATGCCATGTGTGAACGCTGCCGAGGAGGCTTTGCACCTGCAGAAAAGATTGTGAACAGCAATGGAGAGCTGTACCATGAACAGTGCTTTGTGTGTGCCCAGTGCTTCCAGCAATTCCCCGAGGGACTTTTTTATGAGGTCAGTTCCTTTGACTTGTTGCTTCTGCATTTAGAAATTAATCCTTGTTCCAATGTTTTGTTTCAAAAATAGAAGATGACACTTTTGAAATCAGGTAGAGTTCAGTGATCTATCTTGCCTTGGAACCACAGTGCATTCTAGAACATCTTCTATTAGAAATCTCAAATTTAACATTTGATAAAGCATTCTGGAAACCAGTTCCCAGCCTCACATAAGGTCAGCCTTTACCATCTTGCTTCTCTATTGGAGTGCTGGGCTCATAACTGCTGGAATTCCAGGATAATATGAATTTATTCATTCATTCAATAGTATCACTATTGACTCTGATGGCTGTGATTTTAGCAGCCTTAATACCTCTAGCAGCTGCTGTTAAGAAAGACTGCATTAGGTAAATGCATGTATCCATTTACCGTGTGTTAAATTATCGTGGATACTTGCAGTACTTTTATCTTTGTAAGCTTTTTGGAGTCACCAAAAGTAAGTTGGGCAGCCAGAGAAATTTTAAAAAATAAATAAATATTTATCAACTTCCTTCAAGAGCTTAAAATTATTCCCTCTTTTTCATTTCAACGCTACAACAGTGTTATAAGCTAAATCTGGGGTGGGGGGTCTTCTAGTGAGGGTCATGGATGAACATGGATTTTAATTCTGGTTTCCTTGATTAACAGCACTCCATTCATGTCATCATAAGTCATCATTTGCAAAATTGGTCATGTAAAGCTTTTGTTTAAAGGACATACAGTGCAGCAATGCACAAATGAATAATAGCAGTTTTCTCGAAGCTCGTATCTTGGTGTCAAAAAATCCAGAGTGACAAAGAAACAATGATTAGCTATCTACAAATGCTAACCAGGTAGTATTTTTTAATAAGGGAGATTCAGTTTTCAAAAGGATTGCATTTCTTGTTTTTCACCTTGTCTGGAACTCATCTTCAATTAATTTTTCAACAGAGTCGTTTTGGGTATTGTGCTACAACCTGAAAACATATTCAGATGCTTTCTACAAGCTGCTGATTGTTCTAAGACACTGTTCTAAGACACTTGTGGTGAATCATAGAGATAACAGGAATTAAAATGTAATCCTGATGGAAACTTTTGCAACAGTCAAAATATTTCTGCTTACTTTGGTCAGGATAGCTTCCTAAAGAAGAAATACTGTTTCCTGAACTAGTACAAAATGATCATGCCCAACCAGCTGAGACAGATGAAAGCCAATTTTAACTTTACGTACATAGCCTGTATATTATTTCTTCTATGACAATGGAACTGCTCTGTTGTACATAATGTGAAATTTTAAGCAGGCTACAAAAAAAGTTTTGATTTAACCAATGAACTCCCTGTCCCAGAAAGGATTCCTTGGTTTAATCCAGAGTTTGCAATCTTTTCCAAAGGTTGGATATTTTCCTCTGGAATTTTTCCAGAGGATTTGCCCACAGTATACACAAGGATCTCACCTTCAAGGGTCTTGAACCATATTTAATGATTTGCTTTCTTTTGGCCCAAATTAAGAATGTGTATTATGCATTGATAGCACCAATACCTTACAACTGACTATTTTGTTTGAATGACCTATAATACAATCCTAACAAGATTTGTTTTATTGTGTTAGTTAAGGGAGTACCCAGAATTTGGGTAAATTCTAAAGGTATGCTGCTCTTTTACAGCAACTAGTATCTAGTATTGAGAGTCTGGACATGTGTCAGTCTCAAACAAACTTCATTGAAAAAATAGATATTTATAATAATCTCTTAATATTTTTAATAGATCAATAAAATCAAAGTAGACACTTCCAGGAAATCAGGCATAATGAGTCTGTTTAGATACTCCTTTTTACTGTACAAGACTATATATGCATATATTTATCTGAATTAGCATATAGTATTTGAACTATATAGTTCCTTTTTAATTCCTGCAAAATAGTGTGACCATTTAATACTAGTAATGCAGGAAGTACATTATTCTTCTGCTTCCTTACACATTGTATTTTTTTAGATTTATTTTTATTCTGCCTTTATTATTTTTATAAATAATTCAAGACAGCGAACATATCTAATTCTTTTTTCTCCTCCTATTTTCCCCACAAAAACAACCCTGTGAAGTGAATTGGGCTGAGTGAGAGTGATTGGCTTTAAACATGAAATAACTTTCATGTTTAAAGCAGGATTAGAACTTATTATTCCTTGGACATATGCCCTCTTAAAGTACTTGTACGTAAGAGCACTTATAGGCCATTTGGATTAAATCTTACATCTGAATGTCCACAGTGTGTTCTGGTACAGTTATAATGAACTATTTAGATAACTGAACTTTAATAAACTTTTTTGATAGAAGAAAAACTCAGAATCAAATTCAACTATACATGCTCACCAGTTTAACTGTGGTTTTCTTGTGACAGTTCATGGGTGTAGTAGTTAAGGCGATGGCTTAGAAACCAAGAGACCGAGTTCTACTCCTGCTATTAATTTTTTCCTATATTTAAGATATTTAGTTCACTGAAATGTCCTCTCAAGCTTTAAACTGCTGCTTTGTGTCTCGCAAATTTACTGTACACTTTCATGTTTGTTAGTAAACATGCACTAAATTGCTCAGGTTTGCGGTGCTAAATGTTCACTTCAGCAGAACTCTCATTAATTCATTAATTTGGAAATATTCTTTGCAATTATCAAATTGCTTCTATATAAGAGTTACATAGGAACAACTGACATTGAGCAGATTTAAGTCCAGAGAAGCAAATGATGGGATAGAACCAATTAAACAAACATGCATATTTACATACTAGGATTATCCATAATATCAGGCGGTCTGATATCATCATGATGCCATGGAAATGGCTTATTTATTTCACATCTGCTTGAACATAAACTCTGTTTATTCTAATACATTATCACATAACTTGGAAAAAAAGGTGATGTTCTCTAGGGCAAAATAAAGGCCGGACACAAACATTTCCATCTTTCCAAAACCATTTGCCTAGAGCTCCCTTTCAGGAAATGTAAAGGACGGAAGAAATATATAGCTGACAAAATATGTTTCCTGCATTGAACGCTAAACAGATGTTCATGAGGAGAATGTCTCTTGATTTGTGCCCAGATGTTGATCAATTCATCAGAAGCATCATTCCTTACTTACTTACATTATAAAGTGTACTATGTAAGTGTAGCTTGATCAAATATAAAATCATGTTGGAGTTTATCTTATTAGAAATCTTAGCAGTTAAAAGCTGTAGCCATAATATACGTGGAATCATACTTACCTCTTCTGATAGCCTGGCCTATTCGTCTGTTTTCAGTTTGAAGGAAGGAAGTACTGTGAACATGACTTTCAGATGCTTTTTGCCCCTTGCTGCCATCAGTGTGGTGAGTTTCAGAAAAATATATTTTTAAAGGTCTATTGGCCTTTTACAGTGTTTTTTTTAAAAAGCTGAATAGTTATTTAAAAAGCAAGGCATATGTCTATTAAAAATGTTTCCTGTTGTCTTCAGTCTGTATCTTCAATCTGTATCTGCAAATGGAATTAAAATATATGAAAATCTTGGTTGGAGAGGGCTTTTCTCAGAATATGACCATACGCCACATCGTATTCATCCAAGAACAGTCATTAAACGATTTTCCAAATTCACAATCAGTTGACACAGAAACATTAGTTCTGTAATAAAATACAGAATATCTTGCCTGAAAGTCTTCTGTGCATACATTTTCATGCCATGAAATTAAGCTGAAGATTTTGTTAGAAACACAATAATGTTTAAACCCAACTTGTACCATTTTGATGTGAAGTGGACGTTGCTATTGGGGGGAGGGGGAAACAGACTAAAATATCTATTTTCCCTCGGTCTGCCCTTAAGCAAGAGCATCAAGGCACATAACTTAAGTAGAATGAGATAATAGTCTGTTTATCAAGTGCAGACATGTTGCTTCCAGGAGAATGGAAATTCCTGCTGTAAAAATATAGAATAAAAAAGAAAAAAATCAGAGTTACTTTCAGTAATATTATGAGGAAAACAAAGTAAAAATTAGAGTGTACCGATATGCCTGCAGGTATTTGTGTTTTGCACCTGCATATATATAAGCTTCTTGATAAAGTCACTCAAGTTGAGGAAAAAGATCAGAAGCACACATTTTGATTGTGCTTCTGTTTGCTGGGATTCATTGAAGCAGTGTTCATTCCCAAGTCAATCCCTTCTGTCAGCTCTGAAAAGAGATTAATTTGCTGTACCTGCCATAAATGCTCTTCTACAATTATTAACATCTTTTTCCACAGTTAACTGAATCATCTATAAAATATTCTCTGTATCTGATAGATTCTGACCTATGAAGAGTTATGCCACAAAAATAGGCTAGTCTTTAAGGAGCCCCAAGATCCTTGTTGTTTTACTCATTCATGAGAGACCCAAGATAATGTTAGATTCAGTGGCCTGGAAGAGGAGGAACGAAACAGTTTATTTCTATTAAGGAGTGCCCCTCACCAGCCAAAACGAGTAAAGGGTATTATATATCAAAGCTACTGTACATAATGAGAAATAGTTTTCTGATTGAAGGAACATGTAAATGAGACGCATAGCTTTGAACTTGTACTGATTTTTATGTTAAGGATTGAAGCTCAGTTATTTTTAACATTCCATCAATCTTGCTGTCAGTCCTCTCATCTTACTGACATCTTCCCATTAAATAAAAGCTGAATTTTAATATGCATATTGAACAATTGAAAAACCACATTACAAATTGATATACTTTGACATGTCAATTACTTTTCTAAATCTACCAAAATATATCAAATTATATTAATAGATTAAATCCAAAGTGCCATATTTACTATCTAAATATGATGTAATTCCCAATATTTCTAGCAATCTGTAATGCAACAGTTACATTCATTTATTTTGCTTTATATCTGATCTTGACAGGATATAAATAGGATCAAAATTAAATACCAGTTTATATTTGGCAAGAAGTTTGGACAGCCATTTGTCTAAAATGGTATAGAATCTGCTTGAGGGAATTTGGACAAGACCTCCAAAATCCCTTCCAACTCTGTTAGTCTGTTATTCTGTTAGACGTCATTTATCTAAATATAGTTATAAGCTATGAAAGTGGATAGTGATAGTAAGACGACAGTAATGTTTTATTTCTTTATTAAGCTATCATAATCTCCCATCGTAATAATTTAATAAACTTGTTTTAATATCTCCTGTTGAATTTTAGGGGAGTTTATAATTGGTCGGGTTATTAAAGCTATGAACAATAGCTGGCACCCAGAATGCTTCTGTTGCGATATCTGCCAACAGGTACTGGCAGACATTGGATTTGTAAAGAATGCTGGCAGGTCAGTGTTATTTCTCTTCCCTTGATTATAAATCTGAACATAGTGAATTTTTATAACATTTGAAATATTTGGAAGCTTCAGTTGATTCAAAATGTGGTGGCCCACATGATTTTGTGCAAGCCTAGTTTTGCACATGTGTCAACCTCTTCTGCAGGATCTGCATTGGCCACCAATCTCCTTCCAGTCCAATTCAAGGTGATACTTGTCACTTCAAAGCCTTATATTAATTGGGACCAAGTTATTTGAAGGATCATCTTTTCCCAATCAGACCTACCTGACCCACAGAGCAGGGAGACAGAGAATGCTACGAGTTCCCTCTCCTAAAGAGGTCCATCTAATGGAACAAACAACAAAGGGCCTTCTCCATGGTGGCTCCATCTCTATGGAACATCATCCTTGCAAAGATAAGACTGGCTCCCACTTTGACACTATTTTGCAAGACCCTGAAAACAAGGTTCTGCCAAAGGCCCGGAGAAAGATACGGGGCCCATCAAGTCGTCCATTTGATTGTTGTTGCCAATTGGATGGGGAATTATTGCTTTTTGTATTGCTTTTATATTGGGATTTTATTCTTGTAAGCCACTCGGAGTCACTGAGAACAAGTTGGGCAGCCATATAAATTTTCTAAAATAGATAAATCACCTTTACCTAATAATGTCAAAATCAAGGCAATGTAGTCTTTTACACTGCTGATTCAAAAATAGAGATTTTAATGTAGGCAACTAATCTTATCTTTTCTTGTAAGGAAAGGGCATCATTTTTCCTTACAAAAAGTTGTTAATTTTCTGATTGCAAGACTGAAATAAAAATTCAAGTTGAACATTTCCCCCCAATATTCTGATATTTCTTACTGTTTATTCCTTGATTTCTCTTAGACATCTTTGCCGTCCTTGCCATAATCGGGAGAAAGCCAGAGGTCTTGGCAAATATATTTGCCAAAAGTGCCATGCCATAATTGAAGAACAGCCGCTTATCTTCAAGAACGACCCTTACCATCCTGATCATTTCAACTGTGCCAACTGCGGGTAATGGAAACCTAATATGAAAGAACATTTAAGTGTTGGTATCACGATGTTTGATAATCAAATTTGAAAACAAAATATCCACTCTTATCAAAGACAAAACAATGAACAAGTTATTCCATAAACAATACACATCCCAATCTTGTGTAAATTCCATTGTATTCAATAATTAAATCACCAGTTATTTGTGCACAGCACTGACATCATAAAGCTATGTTAGAATCAAACAACATATAACAGTAATTATATTTCTTTTTTTTTTTGATGATGATGATGATGATGATGATGATATTATCCATTCAGTCACGTCCCACTCTTGGCAATTCTTTGGGTCAAGTGTCTCCACATCTTCCAATCTTGCACAATTTCTTAGAGTTTTTCTATGCTCTGGTTAGTATCAGCTTTGATGGTCTCTAGTCACCATGTTTTTTGACAACCTGGTTTCCTTTTGCCACTACAACATAATTGCTATTACATAATACACTATTACAACATAATTGCATCTTCCAGTGAATTGTTTTTAAATTAACGATAAATCTGATAGGGTTTTTTTCTGAATTCTTTTCCTATCCAATTCCCGTCTGGATTACAAAGCTCATATCTGGATTTCACATTAGCAAAAAAAGTGATCAATTTTTCACATAGAAATTTCAAGTGTGGATTCCCCAATTAAGCTGTGCTGAGGCAAAACATTAAAGAAAGTCTCCTATTTCTAGACTAGATGCCTAATCCAGATTGAGTTCCTTGCATTTTACTATACAGTTACAATGAAATAAATGTTATTTTTGTAAAGTAATATCTATTGATTCCAAGCCAATTTCCTGATCAAGTATTGTAGCTTTAATCACTGTACTTTCCTCAGTAACACCATTTTATGTAAAAAGTGGTTGGTCTTATTTAGGTGCAGGCCTGCTCTTCATCTTTGGCTCTTCTATCAGAATGTCTCCTTTTCTTGGGATAAGGGATTCTAGTATACGTGAACAGCACAGTAGTGCTTACGCAACCACCAGAGGTGGTATTCAGCAGGTTCTGACCAGTTCTGGAGAACCGGTAGCAGAAATTTTGAGCAGTTCGGAGAACTATCAAATACCACCTCTGATTTTACAGTATCCTTCCCCTGCCACGCCCACCAAGCCACGCCCACAGAACTGGTAGTAAAAAAATTTGAATCCCATCACTGGCAACCACTCATCTGAACTCTATATTCTTTTCTATTTCATGGCAAGATGAATATTTCATTTTGAAAGTCATGCACCCCCAAAGTCTGTGTCTAAATCAAGATGGGCAACTTTGGCTTTCCTGAATTTCCAACCACTCTATCTCCAGAATGAGGAGTGGTGGTTCTCCTTTGTCAACAATTGGATGATTAAAACTCTCCTAATCCTGTTTTAAACATTACAGTAATAGTCTGAGCAACATACAGGTGAAACTCGAAAAATTAGAATATCATGCAAAAGTTCATTTATCTCAGTAATGCAATTTAAAAGGTGAAACTAATATGTGAGATAGACTCATTACATGCAAAGCAAGATAGTTCAAGCCGTGATGTGTCATAATTGAGATGATTATGGCTTACAGCTCATGAAAACCCCAAATCCACAAT